TAGCTTCCCTGCAAGGTCAGATGTTTATACAAATACACATACTTAAACATCATTCATATTCCTTTTTATAAGCTGATTTCATTTTCACCAATCACATTCTTATTCATTTTTGCATCTCTGTAGAGTTTTAATTGCAGGAATGTTCCAATCTCGGATGGCAAACCTCAGATAAAGAATGTTTCCAAGCAAATACAACTCAGGCAAACAAAGTCACTAATTTATGGATAAAGGAGGATTAGAGAGGGGAAGTAGACATATGTTAGATTTTAACTAGAGATAATTAATTATATGGATGACTGTACTAAACAGTAACCAAAGTTAAGCAGTAACCAAAGTTAACCAATGATGGAAGATAACTAAAAATGTATATAAATGCAAGACTATACTCCAATAAAGATCATCATCATAATTCAGTTGTTCATGATCAAACAACTCGACTGCCTCGTCATTACAACACATCTCCAAATGGCCTAATTGTTTTTTGTGCTCTCTTGTCTCAGTCTTGCCAGTCCATTCATGTTACTTGATAATTTTCTCCTAAAACATATTCATTTATGCACAATTTTCCCACAACTAATTTATGATTATTCCATTATCGCTGTTCACTGAGGCATAACTGAAGAATGAATTTCCAGCTTTACAAGTTTCAAAGAACTGTTACATAAACAACCACTTGCAAACTTCAAAATCTACAATAAAGAGATAAATTCCTCAGAAGTTCATGAGAAATAGTTAAAAAAGAACCAGGAAAATTCTGCTGTAATGTATAAAGAAAAATAATAGTTCTGAGCTGAAACTAGTTCAGTTGCTGGAACAACTTTCATTTCGTTTGTTCATAATTATATTTTCATTCTTCTCTCAGCTGGTACTAGGATTAGAATCCCTGCAGGCAGTCATTCAAAGACACAATTCTAGGTAAGCTAAGTTTACTGCAAAACAAGGAAAGCTGCAAAGAAGAAATCTAGTTATTATTGAGTGTAAAATGCAAGCCATATTTATCGTGGAACCAGCATGCAGACTGTACTCTTTCATCGTACTATAGTGAGCTAAATGCTTTTGAGCAGGACAATTAGCACTTGTTTCTTATTATTTGTTATTTATTCATTTATTATTGTCCTGTTCCAGTCTGATAGACGTGGAAATAAAAGCATTACAAAGATGACCATAATATTCACTGCCTCATAATTATGTTGAGTTTGGGATGTTTTTCATTATAATTTCTTCCTTATCTTTCAACTAATTCTGTGTAAAGTTTTTTTGTTTCTTTTAACTCATCGAACACTTATTTAAAGAAAAATAATTGGGTTTCTTTTCTTGGACTCATATTTTGTACAAAAATGCTTTTCTACTGCAATTGTGTTTGTATGTTCAAAAACAAGTCAGTTGATAAGGTATACAATATGAGACTTATGTTACAGGTTTTTGTATATCTATCCAAGGAAATCCTCTTTATATTCATATATGAACTATTTTGGATGGAGAATAGCACTGCATAAAAACTATTCCTCCAAGTGTTGTCTTGACTGTGCAAAGAATAGTCTTACAAAAACTCTTTCAAAGATAATCTAAAGCTAAATATGCTAAAGATATGCCTCAAATAAGGATCTAACTGTAATGCAGCTTTGGGATTATTGTGGAATGGTCATTCCTGTCAAACGGAGATGGGAAATCACAATCCTTGAATATTGGTCTTTCATCTTTCTCCAATATTTTTATTAGTTCATTATCCTTTAGAGGCCATTGTAGCCGTATGCAATCACATCTCTTTTAATTGGTCCTCTGCACATTCCTCAACATGTTGCAGGTTATAGTGACATAATTTATAAGGAGACTTTATGCCTTCCATGACCTGTATTTGTTTGCCTATAGCACTTGCTATGTCCCAGCCAAGTTCCCTTCGCTGCCCCATTACAGTCTTATGAGGTGAAGGATGAGTGATTCTTTTGTAATGTTGCTACAAAAAAAAAAGTCTCAACTGAGTGCATGTTTGTACTCAAACAATTCTAAGCACAAATATTTAAATAAACATTATAAAGTGAGTTTGCATGACATTTATTGGATAATATTCCTGAATAGGAATTGTACCTGAGAGTTTATATGTGGGAGAAGATAGAAAGATTGATAGAGAGACAGACAGACAGATATCAAATGTGCCAATCTATATATATCTCAAATGTAAATGCACAAAGGTATGTATGCACACAATCATATGCTTGTACGCAACACCAATCACACATCTTCTTAAGTATGAGACTGAATCCCATACTTTCCATTTTATTCCTTTCTGAATATACTGAGCTGTAATAAATCTTATTCCAGCATTTTCATGTCTTTCTTGATTCTGCAGTTTCTCTCACATATGTACAGTTTTTCAAAGGTAACAACAATTAAAGTTAAATGAGTGAATGAGTTTCCCTAATTCTTTCAGGAATCCCATCTGGTCTTTGAATTAATTCAGTTAGGTAGATGATCTTCCAACGTCTCATGATGACAGTTTCATTATGATAAATCTTGATTTATTTATGTTTTTCCATTTTACCTTCCTTCCTCTATAATTTGTTCTCTTTCCTATAAAGATATTGTTTTGTAGACATTCTGTCACTTCATATCTTTCATTATTATCCTTTACATCAGGGATCCCCAACCTTTTCGACGCCGCGGCCCGGTTCCGGCGTCAGCTGGGCGCCGCGGCCCGGTTCCGGCGTCAGCTGGGCGCCGCCATTTTTTTTTACGAAAAATCACTTCCGGTGATGTCACCGGAAGCGATTTTTTCGTCAAAAAAAATGGCAGCGCCAGCGCTTCCGGTGAGCTTTTTCGGGTAGAAATGGCTTTCTACCCGGAAAAGCTCACCGGAAGCGCTGGCGCCGCCATCTTTTTTGACGAAAAATTGCTTTTTTTACCAAAAAAAGATGGCGGCGCCCAGCAACCAGCGGCCCGGTAAGGTTTGTTCCGCGGCCCGGTACCGGTCCACGGACCGGCGGTTGGGGACCCCTGCTTTACATCATTGATACAGTATTATGAGAATCTTATCGCTTTTGGTCTTTTCATTTTTTAAAAAACAGTCCTATCTCACCCCACATCTCTTGCCAAAATAAATTTGCCATAGTGATGCCTTTGGGATTCCCCCTCCCCTCTATATATCTTCCTTTTAAAAGTCTTTAACTTTTAATATTTTAACCTAACCATTTTAATTCAGTTTTTAACTTTGTTCTTATTTATTGTTTTACATTATATTTTACATTGTAAACTGCCCAGAGTCACTTAGATGAGAGGGTGATGTGGAGATGTGATGACCCAGGGTGGGATACAAAACAAACACATTCACAGAAAAAACAGGTGAAGCCCCTTTTATTCCTTCACTTTGCTTCCAAGCTCCGAAGATTCTTGACTGAAGCCAAAAAACTCCCACACAAACAGTTACAAGAAGAAGGGAAAAAGCAACACAAACCCGGCAAGATAAGGGCTGGAGGAAGTCCACGGATAACACACACTGGGAAGGACACCAAACTCAGAGAGGAACCATCAACTAGACATATTTCCACGCTTTGTTTGCCCATACACAGGTCTGTACTTTTATTCAGTTGTCACAGTTGCAGCCCATGAAGAGGATCAAGGCCCTCTCCTCCCAAACAACCTCCGGAGCCACACTTCCACTCCCTGTGGGCTGTTCCTCCTCCCCCTCAGAGTCAGTCTCCACTAGGGGCATGACATGTGATGAATAAATAAACAAGTGCTACACTTTCTTCCTTTAAAAATCAGCTTTGGCAGGAAGAGATTGATCAGGTTTCAATACTACTTGAAAGCACTGTTCCTGCTTGCAACCTATAGTTGAGGTTGCTACTGTGTTAGTGGTCAATCAGATTAACATAATTGCACTAGATTGTGTTAGCTCATTTTAAGTTTATGACATACTTGGTTTTATGCAAGTTTGAAAACATGCCTGTAGTGAAATGATTGGGGAGAAGTCCTAAATAAAAATATTTTCCCCAAAAGTTACTGACTCTGATTCAAATCCCTGTGTGAATCCTTTTTTAAAATAAAATAAAACCTAATTTGTGTCTGGATAGAATGGATAGGAGCATCATTAACTAGACAGAATGGATAGGACCATCATTAACTGGAGGAGTCATGTTGGAGAGAGAGAAAGAATCCCACAGCCAGAGATTAAACCAATTGTTTTGTATCTTATGAGTAGTGTCTGAAAAATCCAAAAAACAGTGACTGAGAATAGATGCAATAGAAAAAGGATAGGGAATTGAGGCAGACTATTTCATGCTATTATTTTATGACAACTCAGAGATGAAAAGATAGCACTTCTCTGGCATATACTATAGGTAGACTTTGCTTAGTGACCACATGTAGAACTGGCACCTGATCATTAGCAAAGCACCCACAAAGTGAAAAATCACAGGACTGTGCTTACAATTTTAGTTCAGCTTTCTTTTGCTTTCTACTGCTTCAGAAGGCTATGATCCCAAATAGTCTGGTGAGCCCAGATAATGGGAAAGATCTCTGGGATTTGACTCAGGTAAAAGGACAATTCTATGCCCAAACTATGTAAACAGAGAAGCTGGTTGTCTGAAACAATACAGTGCAATATTAGATAATTACAGACCCTTGGCATGAGTATTCCTGACCACTGAAATTAGGATTGAAGATAGTTTATAGTTTAAAAAACTAGTAACATTTCTAGGCTTGAAAAACAACTTTCCTCTGTTACAATTTAAGAGGCAGCTATAAACATTCCTGGAATAGGGAAGACCAAGGGTTGTTTTTAAACAAAAAAACAAAAAACTTTAGTTAGTTCACGACTGATCCAGGCCACACTTTCCAACTTCTTTTTCACCACATTTTCTAGGCTGCATCGCTTTACCCTTTCGACCTTCTGACATGGACATTTCTTTCCTTAACGCCTTTAACCTAAGCAACGGTGCAGACACAGCTAGTTGCGCACGAGCACCAACAGTGCCGTCTCAAGACAGGCACCGCCTTCTGAACACGTGTCTCTTTGCAGCCAAGTTGCCTGTCTTCACACAGTCCCAACCTAGCAGTTCGCCAAGAAAGTGCCGGTTTGTGCTTTCAGTCCAGGCACACAATCAGGCGGAGAGCCGGCTTCCGCGCGGGGGTCTTGCTGAGAGCGCCGGCGAACCGCGGAAAAAGCTGGCAGCTTTATGGAGGAATCGGGGCAAGTCGCTGAGAGAGAGGAGAGTGTGGATTGGGGCTACGAAGAAGGTAAGCAGGAGGCGGCCGGGTGGGGGGCTGGGTTGAGTTTGTAATCTGCGACCAGTCTGAAGAATGGGAGGGAGTGGGAGAAGGCGGAAAGGAAAGGCTCTTGTCCCCCACCAATACGTGCTTGTCCCCCACCAATACGTGCAATACTTGCCTTCGTTGTCGTGTCTGGGGCTGTTCGATAAAGCAATTTTCTTCCGACGAAAAGGAAAGGTTGCCAGGTGAAGCCAGCTGCATCCAAAAGTGAGGGGTTTGTTTGGAGATAAAACAAAAAGCTTCTGAACCGCTTTAACAACACGTTGCCGTGTGGCGTTGGCATGACCGAGTCTCTACTTTCAACTGCTGTGGCCCCCTGGAAGGGATTTTTAATCCCTCGGGTTTTGTTTTTTTTAAATCATCTGTGCATTTTGAAAGGTGAGATCATTCTTTTCAAGGCAGCATGGAGCCAGCGTTGTAGATGGGATATTGTGTACACAGTGATCTCGTGATAGAGGACTGAGAAAACAAAATAGCAGATAAGGTGGATTTGTTGGGATTCTGATTCTTTTTCAGGCTGGATTAAGTGAAAAATTGTGTGTGTGTGCAGGAATAGGCTAGGCTAGGCTAGGATGGGATAGAGCTGGAAGGGACCTTGGAGGTCTTCTAGTCCAGCCTCCTCCTCAAGCAGGAGATTCTAATCTATACCCTTTCAGACAAGTGACTGTTCAGTCTCTTCTTAAAAACCTCCAGTGATGAAGCACCCATGATTTCTGAAGGGAAGCTGTTCCACTGATTGTCCTCACTATTAGGAAGTTTCTCCTTAATTCCAGGTTGCTTCTCTCTTTGAATGGATGCTGCTTTTTGTGGTTGTGGTGAAAAATTAAAAATGTACATTTTCTGAGACGACGGGAAGGAAGCATTATACAAAACTATAAAAGTTTATTTGGTTAAATCAAGATATTAAATATCTATGGAAATTCTCAACACCCAGATCATGGATTTCCCAAAGGTTTTTTTTGAAAAGGCAATTAGACTTCCTTGGGGTTTTTATTCCTTGAAAAACTGAAGAAGCTTCTTGGATGAGAAGTGAAATGTTTTCACAGGGAAAAAAACCCCAAGGAAATCTAGTTGCCTTTTGAAAAACACCTTTGAGAAGATGTTAAAAAGGAATTTAATTCTTTCCTTTAATCTAAAAAGAGTTTTAATCAGCTTAAATGTATTCCCTGTTTTGTGATGTTTCATGCCTTTTACTCAGGCTAAGCAAACTTTCTCTTAAAATCCTGATTTCCAGTTTTTATACCTGAATGACATTTTTATGGCTTAAAGATAATAGGAATTAGTAGCTCATGTGTTATTACAATGTTATTTTAGGGATTCTTTGGCTGTCTCCTGTTTAACCTACCTGCTGGAATTTTACTCGTAGATCCCTGTCAAGTTATTTAATGTCAGAAATGACACTGTTTTGTAGTCTTTTAGTTAATTCCAACTTCATAAATTGATGGTCATGTCAATCTAGAGTACTCTTTGACCTGTATTTAAATCAAACTGAATATACATTTTTTTATTTCTGATCAATGATTGTGATAATAGGAATTGAAAATGAGAACAGGAGCTGTTTTGTCACATATTTTTTATTTTCCCTAAAGAAATATTTGGCATTTTTATTTTGTATTATGGTGCATTTAATATTCTTAAGAAAAAATATTGGCATGAACTGCTGGACCATAGTGGATGAAAATGCATCTTTGCACTAGAGAACCATTTTTGAAATTTGTTGGTATGCATTGTTGATTGCTGGCATTGAGCAGGTGGAAAATGCCATTTTTCTAAATGTTGTAGCTCTTATGCAGACCATAACTTTGAAGCTGCTATTTGCATATAAAGAAGCAGACTTCTGGATAAATGTTCACTGAAGAGTTAAAAACGTTGACCCTGTTTTGGTCTTGAAATATGATACGTATAAATAATTTTGGTTCATTTTCCAAGGGATTTTGTCTTAATTCTCTTGATAATGTGATCTAGAAAAGGCAGAAGTGAAGCTATTATAAAAGAAATCCCTGTTGATAATGAAATCAAGATTAAATTCTTGTGTTGCACCCTTTTGCCTCTGTGGTCTAACTAATTTAGCTACTTTCATTTGGAGGGGAGGGACAGTTTCCACCTGCCTCTTGTTTGGACTAGTCTAATGTCAGACTGTTTACTTCTGATCTTGTGACAACTATCTTCAACAAACTTTGAAAAATGTATAGCAGGACAGGATAAATCTTGTCACAGTCCTTTTTTCTAAGAGCGTATAGAAAAACTGTTAACTTTCATTTCAATGAAATGTGTTATTCTCTTTTTCAGGTGTTGAGTGGGGACTAATCTTTCCTGATGCAAATGGAGAATATCAATCTCCTATTAACTTGAATTCAAGAGAGGCCAAATATGACCCATTGTTACTGAAAGTACACTTATCACCAAATTATGTTGTATGCCGTGATTGTGAGATCCTCAATGATGGACACTCAGTTCAGATCCTCTTAAAGACCAAATCAAGTATGTTTTCTTCACTACTTACTTCCTTTGTTTGCTTTAGGATAAACGAATACAGCACCCATTGTTTCATTTTAAAATTATGTTACTTATCATTAGTATCAACAGTAGCAACAAATTGAGAAATATTCTATTTGAATGAGAGAACTGAATTTAGGCATTAAATCCAATCTGCTGCTCATGGTAGTAATCTAAAATAATGAATTCCTGTCAAAGAGCTATCTGGGCTTTCCTTGAATCCATTCTAGGAAGTAGGGGATACTCCTGGTAATTTGTTCCAGTGTCAAATTATTTTTAACTTGAGAGGAAATTTTTCCTAACATTCACTCAGTATCTGTTTTTGTCTAACACAAATGAATTTCATAATCTGCATTCAGAGAGATTGGAACCTTTATTTGTACAGAATCCCTTTATATACATGAACAGTGCCATAAAATTCTCCCTCTGTTTTCATATTGCTGTACGTTATGCATTTTTCTCAATTTTTCTTTATTCTCTTCAGCTTTATTGTCCTCTGAACTTGCTCCAGTTTATCAGAATCCTCCTTTCTTTCATATACATTAATTCAATCATTAATAGTACATTTATGAAGAGACTGAGCCAAGGTCTGTGATCTGAACTCTGAACTGAACTGAATCAGAACTGAATTTTTATGGTTGTGCGGTAAAAAGTATAAGAGTGAAGGAAAAGGATGTTCCATGTATTAAATAACTGATTGGCTCAAGGCTTTCATTCTTGATTATCAGGGCTCTTAATTTATTTCATTTTAATTCTCATTGTCAAACTGGGACTCAGGAAAGGCAGTACTTCAGCTACCCTTCACCAAATTGATGGCCTCTAACTATTTGAACTTAAGTCCTTTGATTTTTTTTTATCAGTTCAGCATTTGGACATACTTTTCAGCATCATGAACAATAGTTCAATATATCTATAGAATGCCTGCTTAGAGAATATTGAATTCCTACTTCTTTGCTTTCACGTACATAACCCATGTGTGATCAGTATGGAAAAGGCATCCTGTGAGCCTCATGGAGACATTAGCCATATATTGTTGCAACTCAAAGATCGCTTGGAAAAGGAGATGGCTGATTGCTGGGAGTGAAAGGAATGAGACCTCACTTCACCAGGAAACATACATAATAATGTGTGTGCAAATAGGAGATATGAATCTTATATCTCTTTCAAACAGAAAAGAGCTCAGAAAATTACCCTCTCTAGTATACATTTTAAACAAATATTCCTTTGCCAGCATTCAGAGTTGATTATATATATAAAAATAATGTTTATAATATTCTTGGCAATGTTCTAAATAATATGAGGCAGCTGGGGTTAGAAAAAAAGAAATCTTATGATTAGAAGAAATACTGCCCTGGTAACTTATAGCTTTGAGTCAGGAAAGTTTTTAAGTCCACTTTAGATATTCTCCAAAATTACAAACAGAAATCAGGGAAAAATTATGCCCACCATACCTCAAGCAATTACAAATTGGAGAGAGGCATATGTTGCATATGTACAGATACTGGATTTGTGTTAAAAGAGGGGAATGTCAAGCCTATTGAAACATATAGATGAAGGCAATTCAAATAGACACATACTTTGGGTGGCTTGTTTGGCAGGAAAGGAACATTTGAAATTTAGGATTTCATTTTCCCCCTACCCCATTTTTTAAAAGAGTGGCCTTATTACAATATGATATATGAAGTAAATATGCAGTAAATTTGTTGATCTCAAAATTAACAGATTCCCTTTTAATTTACCAATCTGTTTTTTTGTTATTGTTATCAAGGGAAAAAGAGTCAAAACTGTCTGCCCTAAAGGCAATGGTTTTATGTACCAGGTCTAATGCTGACTGGTATTTTGCTTTGTCAATGACACTTCTCTTTTGCAGGCTGAAGTAAGATTACAAAGTTCAACATTGTCTAAATCTATCAAACAATTTTTCCTTCTAAGACAGTTATTTTGTTTTTTTGTTATGCAGAATGTAATAAACAAAACTCCATAAGCTTAAAATAAAAAAAACAAACTACTTACTAGTTGGGTGTGTGTGTAATCTCCCCAGAAAACCTCAAAATATACTGTTACAATGTCAGTCTCATTTTTCATCCACAATATTTATGAAAAATTGGTTAAAAAAATTCACTTTCCAAACTTCTAATGAGAAACTTGAGCAACATAAGAGCCGTGGTGGCGCAGTGGTTAGAGTGCGGTACTGCAGGCTACATCTGCTGACTGCCGGCTGCCTGAAATTTGGCAGGTCGAATCTCACCAGGCTCAAGGTTGATTCAGCCTTCCATCATTCCAAGGTCGGTAAAATGAGGACCCAGATTGTGTGGACAATATATTGACTCTGTAAACCGCTAAGAGGTTTGTAAATCACTGTGAAGTGGTATATAAATCTAAGTGCTATTGCTATTTCTGAGTCTGACTGGAAAGAAGTAATTGAAGACTAATTTATGCTTTGTAACATTTGCATGCATTTACTACTGTATAGTTTTAACACAAAGGCGAAACACACAGCTTAAAATACTCCAAAATATCCCCCAAGTATATTTATATGAACTGTCTAGGGAGAAAGACATCCAAAATGGTTTCTCATTTGCTGGTGGCTTCTAAAATTTTAAATTGAGAATTGTACTCAGTACAATTTTATAGAATGTATGCATCAGATTTACTTGCCTCCTGTTGCTTCTCTCTATCAAATAGTTTTGAATAGCTAATCAGTCTTTATTGTTACATATTAGCAAGACTCACACATGGAGCTCAAGTGTGATGTTTTATCTACAATTGGTTGAATGAGCCTCAGTTGCTGAAATCAGACAATATGTGAAGCTACAGCCAAACAAATTACATTGTGGGTTACAGTAATGTGTGTGTCCAGCCACTGCTTGTTACTACTTATTTCCCTCTTGTATTCAAATGGCCAAATATAGTCTCAAGGCAACTATCACATAGTAAAACATGGACCTCTTGTACAGGATAGTTTGTTTTCATAAAGACGATTCAATGTATATATTTCACTAAGAAAAATGGTGACATATAAATAAAAGAATGCAATTGGATGATATTTCCATAGTATAACCATGAAGTATATTTATTGCTCTACCAACTGTGTTAAATGTGAACTCCACTGCAGTTATCACATTTGACCTTTGCCCAAAGAGAAACAATTTTCCAACTGTTTGTTGAGAGGGGTTTTAAAACATTGCTAGCCATGAATATCACTTGCTATAATTTGTATTGTGCTCTTTTCCAGTGTTAGTGGGAGGCCCGTTACCGCAGGGCCATGAATTTGAACTTCACAGTGTTCGATTTCACTGGGGCAGAGAAAATCAGCGTGGCTCAGAACACACAGTTAATTTTAAAGCATTTCCCATGGAGGTAAGAGTGGTCTCACCTTACATAGCCTTAGAATTTATTTTCTTAATGTTAAATCATTACCACAATACAAGTTGGTTTCATTTTAACCCAGCATCTTATTGATTTATAGCAACAATTAATGACTGTCAGTTGAGGTAGGCACAGAGAATTTAAATTTACATGCATAGGATTATGCCTCTGGAACTATTTCTGTGTGATTAATTGGTCATAAAATTAACAAACAGTACCATAAACTTTGGCATTAATAATATTCTAAAAAATACATGCCACAATAGCAATTTCTGTGTCACCTTGAGTAACAAGTTGTTTTGCTTCCTCTTCTTAAACTGCACTTGTCGCCCATCTTGTGGTTTGAGAAAACTCTGAACATCTTATAATGTGATAAAACATGCAGATATCAACATAATTATGAATATAAAACATATTTAAACTACAAAACATTAAAACAAACTAAAAAAATCACAGGTTTGGAGTAGAGAAGTGCTGATACCTTCTCTGTTACTGCACCAACCACCTCCTTCCAGTAACTCCTTCAGGGCCCTATCCCAGCCGGTGTAGCCAAGTTTTAAGACTTTTCCTGAAGCCTTAAAAAAGATGGAGGCAGATCTCACCTCCTTTGACAAGATGTCTCAAAGGATGAGGGCCATGTCAGAAAAGGTTTTTCCTCTGGATCCCACCAGTTGAAATTCCTTGGCTGATGGGGTTCACACTAGCCCTTTTGCCAGCACAAATGGGAGGGGTCAGTCCCATTGCAAAAAGATGGTTCCATAGATATCCTGAACCCATGCCATAGAGGGTTTTAAAAGTAATAAGGAATACTTTGAGTTGGACCCAGACACAGATTGGCAACCAGTGCAGCTCACATAACAGTGGTGCTACATGTGCCACCCTAGAGGCATTCAAAACAGTCTGCACTGCTGCATTCTGGACCAATTGTATCCACTTTCTGAATACTCTTCAAGTGTATCCCCATGTAGAGTGTATTGCAATAATCCAAGCACAAGATGAGTGACTGAGCGCAGGACCACATGACCCAGAAAAGGGCACACAACACAAAGGCCCTCATAGTCATGATGCCATCTACTCTTTGAGCAGAAGTCATGAGTATAGGAGAATCCTCAATTGCATACCAGGTGTGTCTGCAGTAATGTCACCCTATCCAGAATTAAAGATGATAAACCTCTGGATCCTGAAGTTCCGCCTATCTACAGCCACTTTGTGTTACCGAGGGTACTGTTTTCCCCCATCCAGACCCTGCACAGGCTGCATGCATTGTGAGAGGGCAGCCACTGCATTAATTGGGTCACCAGAGAGGGATTTGTAACATTAAAAAAAAAGAAAATAATGTATGCATCTAGTGCATAGATGATTTCGAGTTTTTAATGAAATGCAACATCTAGAACAGTGTTTCTTAAAAGTTTTCAGGAATTCTTCCTACTTTTTAAACTACAGAGGACGCCAAAGAGCTTTTGTTGGTAAAGGTTATATTTATTGATATTCACCATATTAAAAATTAAAATTGATGTATGCATAGAATATTTATTTATTGAATCATGCACAAATAGCAATAATTACACATTAAATATTAACATAAAATATATTTTCATAAAAGGCCATTTTTAACAAATGAAAAGTAATAATGAGAAGAGTGATATTTTAAAGATTGTAAGTATTTTCAATATCTTTCAAATAATTTTGATTACAGAGACCTCTGAAAGATGGTTTTGGGAGACCCCCCCCCCATGGGTTCTATGACCATATATGATGAAACACTAATCTAGAAGATGCAGCGAGTATTCAAAATGCTTAGCCTGAATATATATCAAACCTGTGATGGTGGTTGCAATATTTATGTGTTTCCTCATGCATCTAAGTTGTTTTTTTAATATAGCCAAACTCTTTCACTACATTTTTGTTTGGCTTTAAATATCGTGCTATTTTATCTTCATCCATTTATAAGTTTAAAAACAGCACATTTTTTTCTTCTTTATCTATTTTTTGTGGGATATATTATTTTGCTAAAGCATTTTTTTTTCTACTTAGAAATGGCATGATTTGTAAATTGGGGGTGGGGCTAAATAGTTTAAAATCTTCCTGCCCCCACCTAAGATTAGAAATATAGATTTCTTAATCTGATGTTTGTCTCGTATTAGCTCTTTTCTTGGCATTGCTTAGTGGTGTATTGTATGCTGACCGGGTAGACCAGTTTGTTACCAACAATCAAACTATTAACAATACCAATACACGAATAAACAATATGGAATATGACTTTTCTGTTTAAAGGTGCAAAACTCCCCGCTTATCTAGAATTTCTTATCTCAAACCTCCTGTTTTCCTGGATGCTTATACTTTTCCTTTCTCCTGTTTCCTGTTAGTCACCTCTACTCTTTCCCTTCACACTTTTTTCTTCAGGTTCTCTTAGCTTTCTGTGCCTAAGGAGCAGCAAAAAAAAAAAAAATCAAGATGGTGGCCGTGACTGAACGATCAAAGATCTGCTTGTTTTGAAATCTGTGACAATATGCATTAAAAGGGGACAGGACTTCAGTTGCATGGCCATATTGGCCTTTTTGAACCCTTCTTGGATGGCTCTGTGCCAAAATAATTTGGGGTCAAATCCAGTTTGCAGAATTAGTTCCACTTTATCCTTAAAAGCAAACAACAGGCAGGTAAGAAAAACTGAAACAGGGAAACGTCAATTAGATTCCTTTAAATCTTAAGGCCCTTCTTTGTCATTGGTCAACCATATAACAAAAATATACACTTATAACATTAATATTAAAAAGCTGTTCTACAAAAGCACCAGTAATGTATATGCCACTGTACAGTCACTGTTTTATAATGGGAGAATCAGACTTCAGATAAATCTCTTTATCTTATTTAGTGTAATAAAGAGTCTACACTTAAGCTATTAAAACCTCTAGTTAGTTGTAGAGTCAACAGTATAGCAGTATAATATGACAGTATAGTTATATTTCTAAAATATGTATTTTTCCTTAGAACGTGGAATTTGTTTTAAAGGCTTAATAATAATATGAACAAATTTCATGGAGAAGATTAACTATGTGGTTAAAAAAAGAGGTTAAAGTAGTCTGTGAATGGCCTTAAAATGATAATTTACAGATTTAATTGATGGATAATATTAGTAGATATTTAAGTTTTTTTTAAAGTAATAAACCAAGAATCAATCCATGACAGTCTGGTTGGCACATTTAGCTTGCTTTTTTCATTTATTTTATTTTTCAGATGTTTGCAAACATCTAAAGTATCATCTGTATAGAAATTTTTACAAACAAATTTTTGATACTTTTTTTAAAAAATACTTTTTAAACTTCTGGTTTTTTAAAGGTTTAGTTTTATAGAACATTTGTTCCTTTTGTTACAGGAAGAAACAAACTCCCATATTTTTAAACAAGACAATGAATGAATGTACTGGCAAATCTTGAAAATCTTTGCTTGAAATTTATGATTTAGTATTTCAGGGTTGGGATCTGAAAAGAACACACAGTAGAATTACAGATAGTCCTCAGTTAATCAGTTTAGTAACCATTCAAAGTTATGATGGTACTTATGACAGGATCTTGTAGTTCCAGTCATCACAGTACCTCCCGCTTGGCAACCGACTCACATTTACAGTGGTTGCAAAGTCCCATGGTCACACAGTCACCATTTGCAACTTTCCTGCCAACTCCTGACAAGTAAAGTCAAAAGGGAAGCTGGCAGAGAAAGTTGCATGTTGCTTTGGTAAGTTGTTTACATTCCAGTGGCTTTTTTTCCTGAGGACCCTGGCTACCTATGGCATCCCCTGCCCATGGCAGCCACCTGTATACCCTGAGGCAGTTGGCAGCAGTAATGCCCTGGCATTTCCCCAAGTCACCAGCAGCCACTTACTTACCTGCCAATCTGCTTGCAAGCTGACTGCGGCTTGCAACTTCCCACTGTGTTCCCCATTGACTATAAATTGCACAACTCCATCAGCCAAGCCCTTATTGTATTTCAGGAACAAATCAAAAGGTAGATGCTGTCCTTTCAGCCTCAATCAGCAAAACTTAAGGAAAGTTTTTTGCCATGGGTGAATAGGCAGCAATATAAATCAAATAATAAATAAATAAATGTGATTGGGAGATTGTCCTTTGTCCTTTGCTTTGTTTCTCTTCCCACCAAGCATCACCTATGGGAGGGAAAACATCTTATGTATTCTGAATTATGATATAAAAATACCATATCTGTGTTCTGAATAGTGTGATACTTATTGACTGAGATGTGTAAGAGGCTGACTGCAGGTAGAAAAATTCTGTATACTGCATGTCCTCCAGGAAACAGCAGAAACTGGTTTTCCAATTTAGATGAAGAATATGACAAGGGCAAAGGGAATATATTCTCCCTCCAGTTTATAATACGGCATGTATTCAAAAACAGACACCCTCAGATTTAGAAGCATAATTAATGTCTTGACCCTTAGAACAATAGTGGTTGCTGAATGAGAAAGTCCCCTACAGCAGATATTTTTTTCAGTTTGAATTAGCTGATGCTAATATAATATTTGCAGACTGTACAGATTAGTAAGATTGTTTGTTTTATAAAATTGAAGTTTACCATTAACCTTAAGCCACAGAATAAAAAGAAAAAAAGTCAACAGATACTGGTACATCAAAGGTTCACAATTGTGGTATTATTTTCCAATGATAAATTGTTGAGAGAAGTAGGTTTGCTTTGTCTGATTTATTTTACACAAATATTCTGTTCATAGAACCTTGACTGCTTTATACGATGTGCTGCATCTCAGTTGTGATTCGCTATGTCGAGAGCTATTTGTGCTAGCACTATTTTGCTGCCCCTGTTGTGGCAAAAAATGCTATCCATTCCCACTGTTAAAATAAGGTTGAGTAGGTGGACTAGAGAGAAGCTGCCATTTTGTTTTTTGCCTCAGCACAATACAAATAAACTGATCTGCTTTCTGAAAAAGGCTGTTGAGGAAGAGACCCGGTGTATATAATAGGAAG